GCAGGCAGGAGGCTCCACTCATGCTGCTGAACAGACGATGAAGCCTGGTGCTGTGGCTTGTGGCTGCTGTGAAGGGGTAAAACTGCAGAAAGCAGTGAGTAGAGAAAAACCCAGCTCTCTTCTGACAGGGAATGGAAAGTCCTGTTTGGAAAACTGGACAAGGAGACAGTCCTGGGAAAATCTGAGCACTGGAGCAAGGAGGAGGAGGAAAGGCCTCCAGGGAGTTGGGGGGAGTTTCTGTTTCAACTCCTCTGGACTTCAGCTTCTTGTATTGTGGCCTGATAAATGTGGTCGCCTTTTGGCCCTGAAGTTAATGCTTCAAAGAGCTGTCTGAAGGGATGAGGAGGAGAGAGGGGCCAGAGCAACAGTCATTACGGTGCGTGCTGTCCCAGCTGGCGGGTGGGGATGGGACTTTCCTGCTCCCTCACCCCATGGGATCCACATGCAGCTATTGCTGTCCCACAAAGCGCAGGGGCTGGGAGCACAGCAATTCTGGAGAAGTCCTTCCTGCAACCCACTGAAGTGAGAGAAGGCTTTCCTCCAAGGAAAGGGACCTCACTGATGTAATTCCTTCTTCTAGGAACAACCAAATGCTTAATGATTTCCACAGCTTGGCTTCTACAGAAAAAATATTTGTGCTGGGCCCCTGCCTGGCCCAGAGTATGTCATCACTGAAGATTTTCCATTAATGCAAGTCAAAACCAACGCTTGTCCTCCACCTCGGAGATCCTGGTGTCTTTCCTGAGGATTCGTAGCCAGCTCCACCTTTTCCTTTCCTCACCCAACTGTCATCCATGTTTCAACCAGAGCTGTGGGGCAAAGCCAGCAGCAGTTGGGCTGCCAATTTTGGCAATAGATTAGGGGTCCTGGTGGCCTCACTGCCTTTTGGTGTGAGTCCAGCTGGGGCAGGCAGGTAGATGTGTGCAGTCAGTAAATGATGGCCTTGGTCTGGCCCTATAGTTCTTGGTGTATAGAGTGCGGAGTAGTCGGTAGGGAACTGCTTGCTAATGTCGAAGGATGAATGATGAGGAAGAGTTAAGGCCATCAGCAGGCAGGTGGGCAGGCAGCTCTCGGAGCTGCCTGTCCCACCTCTCTCTGCTGAGGGAGCTGAGACACCCACACCTATGTGTCTAACAGCCTGCATAGCCCAAGCTGTGTGAGAAGAGTACTTTGCACCATAACCCCAGAGCAGCAGAATGGGCAGGTGGGGAGAGCAGTGGAAGGTTTTTGTTCTCAACTGCAAAGGTCAGACTGGTGCTGGAGCCAGTGAGAGGACACAGCCTCCTCACGCACACCCCTTGTTACAAGGTTGCCTTTTGCCCTTGCTTTTAACACTTTTCAAAGCTGCAGTGGATGCAAGAGCAGGATTCCCGATTTACTGTGGGAAAATCAGGCCCTGGGCTCTGCTCTCCATTATTACCATCCCAGCAGCCTGCATTTTGTCTGTTACTGCCATAAGGTTCTGCAGAAGTCCAGGGTTGATGCTAAGGGAGCTGAAAGGTGGGAGAAGAGGGACTGAAGATGGCCCCTGGGTCGTGTTGGGGGTGAGGGAGTCCCACAGGGAGCATGAGAAAGAGGAGGAGGGTGTAGGAGGAAATGGGAAGTTCAGCTCTTTGTGCACAATATAAGAAAGTATGGGAATAGCCCTGCAGGATTATAAAAGAGATTTACAAGAATGGGAAGCAGAGAAAGGCTGGAAACAAAAATGCAGCCTTGTGCAGTACAATGTCATGATGGGTGAATGAGTTCATGGTGAGCTAATGTAGCAGGAGAAGAAGGGGGAGGGGAACCTGCGGAAAGATGCTCACCCTGGAAAGGAGAAAAGAACAGGCAGAGGTGGATACAGGTGCTGAGGGCAGTAAAAATAGAGGACACATACATGGCAGGAGCTGAGGAGAGGAAGGAGGCTAATTGAGAAAGAGTGCTAGAGTCAGGAAAGTAAAACTGAACTTCACAGTACCTCGATCTGCAGTAGCATGGCCGCTCTTGAAGCTTGCTGAGCCACCCAGGGCAGCTGGCAAAGGTGCTGGGAGAGAATTTTGAACCCTGGGCCAGCATGAAGAAGCAGTGGCAGGAGGATGAGCAAGAGCAAGCTAGAGTGCTCTGCTAATAGCAGATATGGTGGCTGAACGAGGAAAAAGTGATGCTGGCAGAATAAATGTATAAGGACCTCTTGCTCCTAGTCCTACAAATAGGACCATGAGCGCACCAAGAAGGAAACATGAAGGCAGGTTATCATTGAAACCACTCTTAGAAAAGTCTTTTTAAAGATAAAGATGTGGAAAAGCCAGAGACGGGGACATGCAGCAGTTAAGGGCACATGTTCGAAACTGGGGATGCGAAGGGTTACCTAGAGTGGACAATCTTGTTATGTCACCCAGTGAACAGGCAAAGCTAGCCCCACATTAGCAATGCACAAATACACACAACATGCCACAACCTATTTTGCTAACAAACACATGTTCTTATATTAATCTCTGTTCTTGCTTTGCCTGTGGTTCCTCTGCATACAATACTTGGTTAATTTTACCTGGCTGGTGAAGGCAAACAGTAGCATAACCAGCATGTGGTACCTGGGCAATGATTTCTTCAGCTGCAAAACTTCCTTGTATTGTAAAGCATTTACAAGATTATAGCAGCACCTCCCTAACATACTGTTTGTCTAAATGTTGCAATGGGAAGCAGAGAACATACCACTGCCTCTGAAATTACTCAACCAACCTGGTACTACTGATAACTGCACTGTCCTCCCCCATTCTGGCCTTTGAATAAGAAGTGTTTGCATTCAGATGGTATCTATTTAAATATTTGCACACCAGGCCCAGCTGTGTACCTGAGCACTTCCAGAACACTCATATCTATAGCTTATGAATGCCTCCATAGGGCCTTGACAGCATTTCCAGCTCCTGTTTTGCATGGGCAACTCAAGTGTAGCCAGTGAGAGGAACGTTTTGTTTCCTGTATTTCCAGCAGTGGCAAGATCGTGTTTAGTCAAGAAAGGCTTAAAGTCACTCAGGATTCTTTGCTGGTGAAAAACATGTAGCAGCAGGTGGATAAAACCACTAGCCCGAGCTCAGATTAGGTGGCCGTTCAGAGGGCACGGCAAGTCCCTGAGAAGAACGGTTTGGCAGATTCTTAACCACCCCCATACCTGGAAAACTTTGCAGGTTTATAATGCAGGCATGGCCCTGTATGCCAGAAGGAAGTGCATACATCTGGACTATACCTTTGCAAGGGAAGGGAAGTAAAAATGACTCAGGATGACAATTTTATATGCTTTCTACAATGGCCTTTGGCTCCCATGCAAATTAGGAAGCACCAGACATATAGGAAGTGCCTCTGTTATACCAGAGAGTCTTCCTTGAAGCAGGTGGTGAGTCAGGAACTACTTGGGAAGAGCAGGGCAGGAAAGGGAATGGGTGTCCCTGTGCAACCTGGAGCCATGGCCTTCTCCATCAGCCTGAGCCAGGCCAGGTGCCAGGAGCACAGAAGTCCCCTGGCCGGCAGTCTTGGCAAAGCTCAGTCCCGCGTCAGCAGCTGTGCCACACCCTGCCTAGGGTGTTACAGCACAGGAGGAAGAGGGCACAGTCACCCTTCACACAGCCCATCCTTTACATGGCCACACAACAGGCTAAAATCTGGGGTTAAAATAGTCCTGTGCTGTGACACATTGCCCACAGATGATCAGGTGCAGGTGAGGATATAAGCAAAGTGATTGTCTTCCTGAACAATGGAGAGAAACACCCAGTAATAACGAAAGGATTACACCCACATCCTGCTGCACATTCAAGGAGAGCTGCAGCTCCCGCAGCAGGTAGGCCCCACACCTGAAATTCAGGGGTGGAAGGCAGCAGCTTCCCTTCCCAGGCATCTGCTCCCTCTTCCCAGGGAAATCCCCTCTGGACCAGTTAGGGTTTGAACTGGAGCTGGGCCAGGTGATAAACGAGAGGGCGGGCTGGCTTGGGCTGTGATGCAAATCTCCAGCCTCCTGTGGCAAGTCTCAGCAAGAACCATTGGCAACTGTAATGGAAGATGCCAGGACAGGTGGGGTGGGTGCTGCTGCAAATGGCCCCCAAACCCCCCTCATGGCTGCATGGCTTGGCAATCAGGTGGCAGAAGGGGGATCCCAGCCCCCTGAGCCACCTGCTGCAATGGGTGCCAGAAACAACACTTAAGTCTGCTTCTGAAATTAGCTGCAGCAGAAGGACTGAGAGCTGCGAGCTGCTTCATTGTGTTACTGCTGCCAAGGTGAACCACCTAAAAACCCTGAGCTCATGACCCCATCGATCTACTAGGTGTTAAATGTTTCTTAAAAAGCAAATCAGGTGGATCACATGTATTTCAGGACAAGGTTGGCAATGAACAGAGCAGGTACAGTAATCTGACTTTTTTTAATAAATACACATCTCACAAGTACCAAACCAATTATAAACAAAAAATGTACAGTATTTACACAATATACAATTGCTAAAAAGTGTAGCAATTATGACACACGTGATGTGAAACACAGAGTTTCCAATGCTCACAGTTAACATTATTGCTACCTTTCTCCTAACAGGCAGGAGAGGTCAACAGTCTCTTGGTCTGACGACTCTGGACACCCCACAGAGAGCACCTAAGGTTGGTCAGTAAGGCCAAGGAATGCCATCAGCCCAACAGAAATTAACATACCATCTCCGTCCTTAGCGCAACAAGGTCGCTCTCTGTAACTACCAGGCTAGATATGTACTGTGATAACTTCACAGGGCTGAGAAGACTGGCTTTATGAGGTGGTGTGAATAAGATCTTCATGGATCTCCACTGATATTACACATCCCATTTCTGTATTTAAACACAGGCTGAAACCTAGAACTGTCTTGGTACAATTACGTGCTCTTCACCGGGCAGTGTAGTATTTTCCTGCTGGCTTCTCCCTCTGCATTGCTACTTTCTTTTAAATGAAGAAATACAGTCCTTTTGCTATACATTATGTACACAGTCACTTCACAGGAAGCGCTGCTTTAAAATGCCAGTTGTCGTCCTCCAATAAGGCAGTCATCATACATAAGCTGGAAGGAAAAAGAAAAGGCTGTTAATGCTAAACTCTTACTGAATGTCTACTTCGGGATAACTGCCAAGTTCTACATGCTCTGACTTTGACAGCATATAAAATTTCTACACTGAAATGGTTACGTTTGCCATTTAACAGCACTGAGAATGTTAGAAAAACAAATGCTGGGGAAGAAAAAAACCCACACATTAGCTTGCATTTTCTGCAGGTGTCAGTAACAGAATGATGTTCAGAGACTCATGTTGCCTGAAGTTCACCTCCGTTCCCTCGTGTACTTTTTTACATTTTATTCTTAAATTTATTCTATTTATATGCTTGCCCCAACTACCATCTTGCTGATGGCTGACATAGTAACTTTAATGTATGGGTTATTTATACCCATCAGTTATATAGGTAAGAGGTCACTGGAGCATATCATCAGAGTGGCATCACCAAAAAAAAGAAAAAAAATCTACAAAGGGCAGGACTTTCCCCTTCTCTTGAAAAGGTGCAAATAGCTACTTACTTCATCTTCTGTGAATTCAGGCTCCGATTCACTGCTCTCCTCGTCCTCGTTTTCTGGCAACACTTGCAGGTTGGCTGTGGTCAGCTGCTTCAGCTGTTCCTGTATGCTGGGATTGTCTCTTCCCCATGTGAGCTGGTAGGGGGAATAGCCCTGGTAGGTCACTTTGTTCACGTCTGCCCCGTGTTTTACCAGAAGTGACACCAGATCTGAATTCTGCAGGTCAACAGCCAAATGTAGTGCTGTTCTGCCATTGCATGGCTCCTGTGTGAAAACAACACAAGGTTTGGCATGTTAGGAAAGCCTAAGCCAGTGCCAAACCTGTTGGTTCTCATGACTGCCTAAGCTGAGCCCTGCTCAGTTACATTCACAGTATACATTACACACCTGAGCATTCACATCTGCTCCCAAGGACAGCAAGTATTCGACAATAGCCAGGTATCCCTGAATAGATGCCAAATGGAGACACGTATGTCCTGCAAAACACAAAGAGAGAGGAAATTTTAGTAAGTCTAACCTAAACCCCTGTCATTCAGTTAAAGTCAAGATGATAGGACACCATGATATGTAAGTTTGCAATTCATCCATAGCAAGATGGTGTTTTCCAGAGGAGCTTTACAGCTTCCATTAAGTATGAATAACTGTATTGGATTTTGGAAAGATTCTTAAAGACTGCATGCCAGTGTTTGACTGCAACTTATTTTAACCAAAGGAAAAAAAAACCACACCAAAAGGAGTACTGCAAAAGCACTCACTAAAAATGGAAATTTCAAAGCCATGAGAGCCAAAAATCAACAATAAGGAGGCCTGCAAGACATTTAAAAAAGAAGTCAAGACACTGCTATGTGCGTTGGGATCCTCAGCTCTCAAACGGGCATAACAATCCTTCTCCACCTCTCTGGAGATCTTTGAACTCTGCAGGACAACAACCCTCCCCTTGGTACAGCACACCAATACTGATGTACAACAGTGGTGCCTGTACCATCGTAGTTGGTCGCCTGCAGGACAGCGAGGAGGTGGTGCGGCTGGCAGTACTGCGTGAGGACGCTGACGCTCCTGAGGGAGCCTTGCTGGCATGCAATGTGCAGGGGTGTGTTTCCTCTGAAGTCCCTGATTTCCAGGTCACATCCGGCCTTCAGAAGATGCTCAGCAATTTCAGGCTGATCTGTGATCACTGACAGGTGTAGAGGACTCTGCAGGCAAAACAGAAAACACAGACCTGTAAGTTACACCACAAACATGGCGGCAACGTCTGGACAAACAGACTTCTTGACTGTTTGGTGATTTGTGCTCCCAATTAAACACATACCCCATAAACTCAGTTCTTCATACTGTCCAACAATGTACAGTTGCCCTTTGGTCTGGAAGTGATGAACCTCCAGATATGGAACAGTCAATCCGTATGAAGGGTATCATTAACATCCCAATAAAGAGGGATGCAATCCACTGCATTATATTTGAAAAATGCAAGCGTTAAATGCCACTCTTGGGGGAAAAGAAGTATTGTACTAACACTGGCTGGAGCCAGGTGGGGACTTTCCCAAATGGAGACTTTGATTAAATATCCACCAATTTAAAAAAAAAAAAAAAAGAAAGAACGCTATTAGGGGGAATTCCCGAGAGGGCTTTTGTGGGGGCCGACCCGGATTTGGGGCTGTGGAGGTTAAAGTACCTGGCTGAGGTTGTTCTGGAAGTTCAGGAAAGCACGGTCCCCGGCTGTCTGCCGGATCACCTCCAGGCTCAAGGCTTTTTCCTCATGAATAATCGCCAAGTGGAGAAAACTGCAGGAAAAAAGCCCCCAAAAAACAAATTAAACGACCCACGTTAAAAAACCCCAAATCCCCAGGCGGGCGGAAAGGCGAGGTGGGACCGGGTCATGCGCGGGTGTCGCAAGCCGGGGCTTTTGGCGGCCGGGGCTTTCCGTCGGCTGAGA